CTCCTCCTCCTCTACCTCCTCCTCCTCCTCCTCCTCCTCCTCCTCCTCCTCCTCCTCCTCCCCTCCCTCCTCCTCCTCCTCCTCCTCCTCCTCCCCTCCCTCCTCCACCTCCTCCTCCTCCTCCTCCTTCTCCTTGTCCTCCTCGGGTCGCCTACGGCCCCGGGGGAAACCGTGCAGGGGGGAGTGAGAAGGAGAAGGGCCCTGTGTACGCCCATCGCTGCGCTCACGAATCCAACCCTCATCTACAAATCGCCAGCACGGTTATGACGGAGACTGGCGTTCTATCACTGAGCAGGAAAGTAGCTGAGCACTGGAGGATCGGGCGGTTTACATACGGTTTCGCCGCCCCGTCCGCCCAGTACGCAAACGCTTGTCGCGGCTTCGCATTGGCATCGGATCGTCGCGGGTTTGAATCGTACGTGGAAGTCTGGGGGTGCCCTGCGCGGGGGCTGCGGGGTTCGAGCTTCGGCGCTTCGGCGGCTTCTTTGCGGCTCGGTTGTTCAAGGGTTTCGCCTCGCACCCTGCGCGCGCGCGCGCGTGTGTGTGTGTGTGTGTGTGTGTGTGTGTGTGTGTGTGTGTGTGTGTGTGTGTGTGTGTGTGTGTGGTGTGTGTGTGTGTGTGTGTGTGTGTGTGTGTGTGCGTGTGTGTGTGTGTGTGTGTGTGTGTGTGTGTGTGTGTGTGTGTGCGTGCGTGCGTGCGTGCGTGCGTTGCGTGCGTGCGTGCGTGTGTGTGTGTGTGTGAATTTGCACTGTTGTATGTATGCATGCATGCATGCATGCATGCATGCATGCATGCATGCATGCATGCATGTATATGTATGTATGTATGTATGTATGTATGTATGTATGTATGTATGTATGTATGTATGTATGTATGTATGCATGTATGCATGTATGCATGTATGCATGTATGCATGTATGCATGTATGCATGTATGCATGCATGCATGTGCATGCATGTATGCATGTATGCATGTATGCATGTATGCATGTATGCATGTATGCATGTATGCATGTATGCATGTATGCATGTATGCATGCATGCATGCATGCATGCATGCATGTATGTATGTATGCATGTACGTATGTATGTATATGATGCACACATGTGTACTCCCGCTTCCCAGCCGCCGCCCCGCTCGCCAGCTTGCCAGCCCCCGCCCCGCGGTCCCCCTTCCCGCCGCCCACCGACCCTCGACGCGCGTTTCCACCTCGGCGGCTTGGCGCGCCTTCCGAGCCTGGGCCAGCGGAGAGAGGAACGCAGAGGTGCGCCGTTCGCCACGGGAACACATGACAACGGAGGGCAGGAACCTTTATTTTTTTGTCTGGGCGATAACGCTCGTGATCGCCCCCGCCCCTCCCTCCCCCATGATCAAAAGGAATCTTCCAGGGTTTCCAGAGAATATCTCGGGCTTTCCTGGAATTCGTCGTCGTCGCTGTTGTCCGCGACCAGGAGGCCGAAACCCGCCGTGATGTGACCGGGGGGGGCAACCCCCCCTCCCGATTACGCACGTTGTCGCGGACAATACAAAAAAAAGTTCCCGGGGGCACACTCATACCCGCCATCGCCATCACCACTCCTGGAAACAGACGCAGAAGCACAATGTTGCGCATGCAAGCTCTCTCGCACACATGCGCACGCACACAGCTACAGACGCGCTGCACGTCCGACGCCATACGACTGCCTGCTGAATGTGGTGGTGATGACGGTGACCAGTTTGGCAATGGTGGCGGATGAAGACTATGATGCGTGGTCCATAGCCGCGGAACATTACCCTGGCGATGTACCAAACCCCTGCGCAATGCTGGGCGAGAATAGTGTGGGACACTTTATAAGGGGGTGATAACGTGGCAAGGGACATTTTTTTTGCAGACGGCATTCGGGAGACTCGCAGGGCGCCGGTCTAAGGAAAAGGATTTGGTCGAGATGATTAGCTAGAGGCCCTGCGGAAGGGGCAGCAATGGGACGCAGGGGCGCAAGGGGACGAGGGTGGAGAGTTGGAGGGGAAGCATAGGCATGTTACCTCTGGATCGCGTTCTGGAAAGATATAGCAGCAGGAAAAAGGCGGCTGGAGCGAAGGGGGTGGCGACGACGGCGACGACGACGCCGACGACGACGGCACCCGCGCCGCCGCGGGAGCGGCGAACGTCCTCCTCCTCCGCCTCCTCCTCCTCCTCCGGCTCCGCCGCCCCCTCCTCCTCCACAGCCCCCCCGGCCCAGGGACGCCGAGGTCTAATCTGGATCCGCGGTGGAAGGCCACGCCATCGCAAGGTCACAGATCACAGCCCCCCAGGGACGGCGAGGTCTAATCGAAGTCTGCGGCCGCTCCCCAGCGTTCTAGACGCCCCAGCAGGCCTCGAACGTACCGACAGTGTCAAAGATCGCAGCCCCCCAGGGATGGCGAGATCTAATTGGAATCTGCGGCAGTTGCCCACTATTCTGGCACCCCAGCAGGACTGGCAAGTGGCGACACTTTCACCGATCGCACCCCCGCAGGGATGGCGAGGTCGACTTAGAGTCTGCGTAGGACGTCACTGTGCTGGACCCCCCAGCAGCCCTCGAAAGTGGCGACAGTTTCGCAGATAGCAGCCCCCCAGGGATGGCGAGGCCCCGTTTGGGTCTGCGTAGGACGTTACTGTGCTGGACCCCCCAGCAGGCCTCCCAAGTGGCGACAGTTTCACACATCGCAGCCCCCCAGGGATGGCGAGGTCCCGTTTGGGTTTGCGCAGGCCGTCACTGTGCTGGACCCCCCAGCAGGCCTCGAAAGTGGCGACACTTTCACAGATCGCCCCCCCCAGAAATGGCGAGGTCGAATTAGAATCTGCGTAGGACGTCACTGTGCTGGACCCATCAGCAGCCCTCGAAAGTGGCGACAGTTTCGCAGATAGCAGCCCCCCAGGGATGGCGAGGCCCCGTTTGGGTCTGCGTAGGACGTTACTGTGCTGGACCCCCCAGCAGGCCTCGCAAGTGGCGACAGTTTCACAGATCTCAACCCCCCAGGGTTGGCGATGCCCCGTTTGGGTCTTCGTAAGACGTCACTGTGTTGGACCCCCCAGCAGCCTTCGAACGTGGTGACAGTTTCGCAGATAGCAGCCCCCCAGGGATGGCGAGGTCCCGTTTGGGTCTGCGTAGGACGTCACTGTGCTGGACCCCCCAGCAGCCCTCGAAAGTGGCGACAGTTTCACAGATCGTAGCCCCCCAGGGATGGCGAGGTCCCGTTTGGGTCTGCGTAGGACGTCACTGTGCTGGACCCATCAGCAGCACTCGAAAGTGGCGACAGTTTTACAGATCGCAGTCCCCTGCAGGCAGGACAGGAGGAGGCAGGAGGGAGGCGGGAGGAGGAGGCGGACGCGACCACAGTCCCTTATTCAAAACGAATACCCAACCAAGGATGGTTGGGGGAAAAACAAGAACCTGACGTTTGACAGACGCCAGGCGAGCGTCATACACATATCACATGTGCATGACAAATGTCATGCCGACGCCGCCCCCCATTTTTCCAACGACCGCTCCCCATATTTCAAAATGTCTTGGCATCGCTCGGACGTGTGCATTTTTTTTTTTTGGGGGGGGGGCGAGGACCATCGAGGAACATTCCGGACCATCTTGCGAAACATGTACGGGGAATGGACATCTGAGCGACGGCGAGATCTATGGCGCGGCCAAGTTCACGCAACGCCAAGCCCCATTCCTCTTTGTGGCGCATGCTGCCAAAGGCTCCCCACATTGGCAGAGGAAGGGCGACCGCGCTCCATATTCTTCGAGCGAACGTTGACAGGAGCCATTCAGGGGGCGAGCAAATTTTCTGGGTAGGACTGGCTACAGTAGGAGCTTGACCACAAGAAACCTTCCACAAGGAATCCAACCCTGAGGCCCCAGGACGTCCATGACCCAGGGTACCCTGGAGGCAAGCAGGGTGTCTCTTGGCATTGGTCTCCATTGTAGTTCCCACGTGGCGCCTGCTCGAATCGTGACGTGACCATGGCCGGGTGGAGGACGGGTGGGGGCGGGGCCTATGGGCGTTACATTCGAAACCGATGGGAAGGGTGGGCAACTTTGCCAAGGGTGCCCTTGCACCCTTGCCTCTTCGGTCCATCCTTGACTACTTTCGATGGCCCACCGCGCTCGAAAAAACTTCGACCCGGGCGTCCAATGCCCGTGCATTGTTACCGCGCAGCCTAACTACAGTCGTGTACCTGACTAAGAACCTCCTGGCGTAAAGCTGGGCCAGCGTTTTTCAACAGCATGTCCGGAAAGCTGGCCCATTTTTCTGAGCACGTTTGCCTCCTCCAGAGCCATCAAAAAATTTGCCCAGGCTTGTCAAACTTAGAAAGCTTCGGAACCTCTTGCCCCTATTTCTTACATAGTGGTTTTCTTGAACATATTTTCGTCGGTATCAGTTTTGCTTGTGTCGCGAAAAATGCAGAACGCGGTCTCTACATCCCTCGTCGAAATCAAGCGCAAGTTCTCGCCGCGATGTGGCCGCGACCCAGGACCCCCAAGTATTTCAATGTTCGCTCCGAAACCCACAAACAACTGACCCCGCGGTCCGCGTTTCGAACGCTGGTCAACATCAAACACTTGCGTTTGATTCTGAGGAGGGTTGTAAGAACATGGTTGTTGCTCCCAGAGGAGTCGAAGGCGTAGGAAACAGCCCGCGGGTGGCCCACAGGAGCGCGTTGGGACGGCCGGCCCCCTGCTCAGGGACCAGGTGTTCGTTTTTTTTTTTTTCATTGTTTTGCCGATCGGCGTGGGCCCCCAAACCCCCCTCCCCCACACATGGAGTAGATCTTGGCTGCGTTTTTTGCGCCTGTTTCGAGCGGGTGGCGTCCCCCCCATAACGGACGCACGGTTCCAAACAGTCGCACTGAGTAGAGGTCCGGAGCCAGACCCTCCCCCCTTCCCCCCCTTTCCGCCCAATGTCGAAACGCCGAATAAAAACGCTCGCCAGAGAGAAGTGGGCAGTCGGGGCACCCGTCCGCCGCCCCCCCCCCCCCCGAGGACACGGCGGCGTGGGGGCGGCAGCTCGAGGAGCTGGGGCGCAGCCGGGCCTCCTCCCTGGCCTCCTCTCCTCATGTGTGTATCGTTCACCGATCCCGATCCCCATCCCCATCTCCATCCAGACCCCAAACATCTCAGCACCCCAGTTGGGGATATACCCTTCGAAACCCGAAAGAGACGGCCTCCTCCCCTCATGATTGACCGAGCGCTCTCCACTGCTCGCAATCAGAGCCCCGAATCATCCGGGGTAACTCGGGTCAGGGCTAACTCGGGTTTGTTTTTTGGGATTCCGAACCCGAGTTTCCCGGGGCCCGAGTTACCCCGGGTAGTTCGGGCGTCCAGGGTCCCAAATCATCAGGGGTAACTCAGGTCAGGGCTAACTCGGGTTCGTTTGTTCGGGAATCCAAACCCGAGTTACCCCAGACCCGAGTTACGCCGGATACCTCGGGCGCCCAACGCAAAGTGCCGATACGCAAACGTTCCAAAAACACATGTTCGCCTCGATCTGATATGATGGATCGTAAACCCCCGCGGCGGATCCATGCCAACTGAGTAGTTTCTTTGCGAGTAGTGGAACGCGCTTGCCTCCTTATCGGCAACGCAAAGTGGGGGGCAGGGGAAGGGGGGAAGGCTTCTTAGAAGGAGGCTGCTTCTCAGAAGGCGCGGGCCTTATCTGTAGATGTACGGCTGGTGCCTGCTAAGAAGCAGCCGCCTTCTTAGAAGTCTTCCACCTCCCCCATACCTCCTCGTGCGCGCCGGTGAGATTATGATTCATCAAGCCCCCAACCTCAATTGAAGGCGCAGCCCAATCTAGGCCCCAGGTTCTGCCATTCGGGACGAAGATGTGGGTGGTCGTGTGGATGCGTCTGCGGAAGAAGACCCCCTCGGTATCCCTCATGTTTAATGTTTGGGCCTCCTAACTTCGAGCCCCCCCTCTAGGGCCAGGGGTCCTTTCCCTGCGAAGCATCCCCGTGGGCGCGCGGGCACCTCCAGCCGGCGGCGGGGACAGGCGCTCAGCTTCCAATTCTGGCCGCCGAGGGGCCCGCCCGCTTGGGGCCCCGCGGCCGTCTGGAGTCGGTCGGGGATGAAGGCTGGTCGCCTCGGGATCCTCGAGGGGCCTCAGAGGAGGAAAAGGCACCCATGCCTCCACGCTTGTGCCGTTTTCCCCCCGAGGGGCCTCGAGGGGTCCTCCTGGGAGGTCCTCGTCGCCACCGCTGGACTCGCCTCGAAATCCTGGTCAGAACGCGCCCCAGGAGAGGTCCGGGGAGTGGCGGTAGGAGGAGGATCAGGAGGAGGATCAGGAGGAGGAGGGGGAAGAGGAGCAGGAGGAGGAGGAGGAGGTGGATGAGGAAGAGGATGATGATGAGGAGGAGGAGGAGGAGGAGGAGGAGGAGGAGGGGAGGAGGAGGAGGAGGAGGAGGAGGAGGGGGAGGAGCAGGATGAGGAGGAGGAGGAGGAGGAGGAGGAGGAGGAGGAGGAGGAGAAGGAGGAGGAGGAGGAGGAGGAGGAGGATCGGTACCTTTTGGTTTCCCCAGGGCTCGCGGACTTCCGAGAGCGGCGACGGCCACTTCCGCCGTGGGCCGTCGTCGCCGCTGCTCTTGTTTCGGCGGCGCGCCTCGGGGGGGGAAAGTTTCGCTTTCGAGGTCTTTCAGGTTTTCGGACGCCTTCCCAGACCTCCAACGTATGGACAAAAATCAAGACGGAGGTTTTTGTAGACTTTCGGCCTCCAGGGGCTCTCGCCAGGCCCCGGGACCGTAAAAAACGGCCCAGGATGAAAAACCGGTCCTGGAGAATGGGTCGAGATTTCCATTTTTGTTTCTGCAAACTCACTCAAGCAATCCTCGCGGCCATGCTTGGTTTATATATCCTCCGGTGTGGTGCGGTGGTCAGCTCACTGCAACGTCCGCCGGGCAGTTAACAAATCCTCTGGTCCGAAGTCAGACGAAAAATCGTATGCCCGAATGGGTCGAGACTTCCAGGGACCCCGCATTGAAAAAATCACGACATCGGATCTCTGGGTTCGTCGGGCCTCGACGGTTTTTTCCAGTCTCGGGTTACGCGCTCCGGCGGCGGCGCCACTGCGAGAGCGTTTATCGGGGGCGTTCCGGCATCGTCCCGAAGGCCCGCCGGAGACCCGAGTCAGGACCCAAACCGCCCAGTTTCGGGGGAGCGTAAGACCCGGGTTTGCCAGGACTCGGGTTCGCCATCGTTTTTTGACGACCGCGCCTCGGATTTTGACGAGGAGGAGTTTCGTGGGATGTCTGCAGCGGGAGGCCTCGTCAAAATGCAGGCTCGGCCTCGTCATTTTTTTGACGACCTCGTCGGGGATTTCCGAGTCCCCTGTACCCGGGTCTTACGCCCCCCTGACAGTTGGGCGGCGCACCCGGGGGGGAGTCAGAAGTTGCAGGCCCTCTCAGAAGGCGGCGGGGCTTCTCAGAAGCCCTTGCGCCGTCTGGGAAGTTTTTGTCGGTGTCTTCGGGGAAGGAGTTTTGAAGACTCGTCAGAGGGCCGGGGCCTTCTGAGCCTTCTGAGGAGGCCCCCCCACTCTCACTTCCCCCCGGGCGCACCGCCGACGGAGGCCACGGCCACTCGGGACGATCGAAATGGCTACGGAGAGAGTGGGCACAAAGACCAGATTCGCTGTCGGTGTCACCGCGGACGTTGTCCATTTGAGGCAGAAGGGCGCCTGCCCAACAGCGGCCGCTGTCGGTTTTCGGCCACATCTACGTATTGTTTTATGATGTTCCAACCTACTTTAGCCTGGATCGCCAGAAAGAATTCCGAGCACCCAAACAAGTGCCGAAACTCTAGGGTTTTCGCGTGTCGGGCCAGACTCGCCTGACACTGCTTCGGCACTGTTGCGACACTCCTTCGACACTTTTCCGGGTGCCCGAAATCATTTCTGGGATGTGGTCCTGAAGTGCGATGGGAGCAACATGCGCACTGTTGGGCATCGTGCCCCAGCTTTGCCATGCGTGCCCATGTCGGGCGTCCAGAGCCACGGCCGCTGCGCATTTCGCGTGGTCCTGCAGCCGGTAGGAGAGAGGCGCGCACGGGACGCACAGGAGGAGAGGGGAGGCAGAGGGAACATAGATGTGTGTATATATACACATATATTTATATACATCGAGAAATAAAGAAAGACAGACATAGAGCATCAACACAAAGACAGAGATAGAGAGAGAGAGAGAGGGAGAGGCAGAGATGATCCATGCATGTATATATTGATACAGACAGAGAGAACATCAAACAACAAACGGCCTGGGACGGTTGCAGCGACAGGGTCGGTGATGGAGCGCAGTGCGGTCGTGCAGCGGCATGCGCGCGTATGCCTTGACGCCAGCCAGGCCATAGGAGGAACGGCTGCAGCGTCGGGCTCGGCAGTGGGACGCAGTGCGGCGCGCACCAGCATGCAGCCGCGCACTTTGTGCTCCTCCTCCTCCTCCTTCTCCTCCTTCTCCTCCTCTACTCCGCCTCCTGCTCACGCTCTCCTCAGGGCCCGCCTCCTCCTCCTCCTCCTCCTCCTCCTCCTCCTCCTCCTCCTCCTCCTCCTCCTCCTCCTCCCCCGCCTCGAGGAGCACGGCGTTGTCGTGCTCGCGGGCGCCCTGACCCGGGAGGAGGTCGACGCGTGCGTGGGTCTCCTGTGGGACTGGCTCGAGGGCCTCGGCACGGGCATCGACCGTCACGACGCCACGACGTGGACGACGACGGACGGCCGCTGGCCGGTGGACAACTCGTCCACAGGCGTCGTCTGCACCGGGGGGGCAGGTCATCGGTATTGGTTGGCCGATCCTTACCCCCATCCCCATCCCCTTCGAGACTTCCACCAAACTACCACCCAGTTGGGGATACACCCGTCAAAACCCGAAGGGAACGGCCTATATCCCCATCTAGGGGGGGTAAATCGGCCAGTGGGGCCCGGGCCACGCCGCTGGGGCTGGGGATCGGTGAAACGATGCTCAGGTCAGTCCCTCGCGGCGTGGACCGTCCGCAGTGCCGCGGCCGTCCGGGGGGCCTTCGCGGCGGTGTGGGGTACGGGCGAGCTGATCACGTCGATGGACGGGCTCATGCTGGCGGCGCGTCGAGGGGAGCGGGGCGAGGGGGATCCCGAGGTCCTGGCGTCTCAACTTTTTCAGGCCAGGCGTTTTCGTTTTTTGTTCCGGCCCGGGACCCTCACAGATCGGTGCGGCTTGAAGCATGACGTGGAAAGATGGGGTCTAGGGCCCCAGGCGTGATTTTCTTAAGATCTTACAGTGTTTTCGCCACGTCGGATCTCAGGGAACGCAGGGGCTCCCAAGACGGCTTCCCCAAAGGCAGGAGGGCTTCTGGGAAGCCTCCCCCAGGCCTTCTCAGAAGGCCTCCCCCCCTGGACGCCCCCCCGCTGGTGCGCGCCGCCAGTCGTCCTCTGGCGACCGTGGCAGCAGAAGCCCGCTGGCGTCGCCGAGAGCTGGCGCACCCGTGGCGGCTGGCTGCACATCGACCAGAACGTCAGCAGGCGGCCTGGGCGCGAGGCGGTGCAGGGGCTGGTGACGCTTACCGGGGCCGAGAGCACTGCGCGGGAAGGCACCCCTCCCGGTCCACACCCTGAGTCCTCTCATGGTGGTGCTTAGTTAGGTCCTTCCATGGCTGTTCCTCTGGCCCTCCTCGTGCACGCAAGCGCTTCTGGTGCAAACAAGGGGCTTCGTTCCTTACAGTGGAGACCCATGCCAAGAAACACCCTGCTTGCCTCCAGGGTGCCCTCGGTTTCTTAGGCTTCGATGGGTCTGCAATGGAAACCGTGGCGTCCCCACACCGAACATCACGGGACGTCCTGGGGTCGCAGGGTTGGCTTTCTTGTTTTGTGGACGGCTTCTTGTGGACTGGCCTCCACTGTATCAGTAGCCCTAGGTTTTTGTTCTCTCAAACGAGAGAGTGCAGTGGAGTGCCCCGGGGCAGCCCCGTCTTGGAACGGTAGCGCCCCCTTGCCCTGTGCAGCCGGGCGCCTGGCCGCTGGCCGCCCCGGCAGCGTGCCCGGCGGGGTCCCCGCCCTGCAGAGGAGCCGCCCTCCATGCGGGCAGCCGCTGCACGGTCTCGTGCTCGTGGGTCGTATCTCTCTGGGGCAGGCCGGGCCCCATGGGGTGGCATCTCGAGGCGCCTCGCGACGGCGGGGCAGATGTGACGCTCGGGGCTGGTCTGTGCCGCCGTCCATGCTGCGAGGTTCGACTGCGTGTGAACTCATGCAGGCACCTTGGGCGCCTCCCTTCGGGTGGTGTCGCCCAGATGTTCTGTCCGGGCGCAAACAGACCTCGCGGTGACCTCGAACCCCCAAGGCCTCACCGCACGGTCCGTCAACGCACGGTTTTGGGACCTCGGATGCCCCAATCGCCCGAGACATACTCGAAGAACGGCCCGAGTCCCAAAACCGTGCGGTGACCCCGAATCCCCACCGACTCACCACACGGTGTGGTCACCACCGCTCTTGAGGGCGTTTTGGGCGTTTTGACCGGGAGCTCCATGTTGAGGGCGTTTTGGGCGGGAGTTCCATGTTGAACAGGAGTCGCCCTGCATCCGTGTAGCTGCTGGAAGCCATTACGACGAGTGTGCGAGGCGTTGGGGGAATTGCCACATTTCGAAATTGAAGCTGCCTTCATCCGTGTACCTGCTAGACTAAAGTCGGGCGTGTCCGTTCACAGGAGGAAGAAGCAAAGATAGGAAGCAATAGTCTGGGGACGATGTTGCTATTATGTTTGAGCATGCTTGGGTAGGTTTGTCTATCTTTTTCTTTTTAATCCGCCTGTCGGGGGACGCGCCCGACTAAACGCCAGACGTCTTCAAGACGAATGTGCGCGGCGCCAAGGTCAGCGCCACGTTTTGAAGAGGTGCCGGCCTTCACGCGTGTAACTGTTGGAAGTCTGAGGCTCTGAGGCAGTAATCGGCACGGAAGCCTCAAGCGAACCGACCCAGCCTACAGAAACGCGTGGTTGTCCGAAAGGGAGGAGTCGCTTCCAAGGAAGAGGGATTGAGAAGGAGAAGGAGGAGGATTGGAAACGAGAAACGCAACAAACCTGGCCTTCATGTCCGCCCAATGTCAGAAAGAGGAGGAAGAGGAGGGACCGTGCAGACCCCTGGGCCCTGGACGAGAATCAGGCCTTCAGGAGAAGGAGGAAGGAGGAAGGAGGAAGGAAGAGACGGAGAAGGAGGGGGATGATCGGACGCGCCTGGAAGGAGGAGGAGAGAGAAGAGAGTCCCGCAGTCGTCCTCCAGCTGCGCTGCCTGCACCAGCCAGCGCACGACATTCGCCGCCTGCACTAGCCCTGGCCTGGGGCTCCCACGGGGGCCAAAGCCGAGGGAACCCCGAACAGCGCATCCCATCCCGGTCATCCCTCGTCTCATCTCTGCCCCTGGCTGGAGACAGGGGGATGGGCCGCTTAGCTCCGCAAGGCTTCGCGCGCCGCTCACGACGCCGCGGCCCCTCAGCCGCGCGCGTGCACGGCGCCCTCGCACTTCCTCCGCAGCTGTGCGAGGAAGCTTTTCTCGGGTTCCATGTGCAGCCCTCTCAGCCCCACGCGAGCCTGCGGCGCACTCGTAGCCCTCGCCGCCACTGCGGCCCTTGCCCTTTAGGACAGGCGGGGGGCGCCACGACTGCACCGCCTCGCTGATGGACGGGTCCGTCATGGCGGCCGCGCGCTGCGCCATGTACTCGTCGTCGTGGCCGTACTGGGAGGTCTACTGGACCACAATCTGCTCCATCTCATCGGCCCGCATCTGTGCCAAGTTCTCCTCGATCATCCTGGCGGCCTCACGTTTTAGCCAGGGCTAGACGAGGCCCTCGTCCTTCTCCTGGAGGTGCGGCCCCTGTCCGTGGCCATCGCCTTGCTTCGCCAGGTCGTCGGTCCTCTGTGCCACCAACTTCTGCGCATCAACCGCCTCTCCCTCCAGCGCCTCCTGCGCGCGGACCTCGGCGAGGACCCCGCCCTTCTACTGGAGGTGTGACTCGTGCCCGTGGCCGTCAGACTCGACGATCTTCGCCTCGTAGTGCTGCTTCTCCTGCACGTGAAGCTCCATGACCTTCTCCACGTCGTGCTCCATCGGGCCCTCCTCGGCCCTCGCCTGCTTGCACACCAAGCTGCTCTCGATGCCAGTGTCGCCCTTGGACTCCTGCGCCTTGCCAGCGACGCCACCGCCCCCCGCGCTCGACGGCGAGATGTGGCGCCGAAGCCAACGGCCGCGCTGAGTGATCGTGGCGCTACCCAGGGCCTCCACCAAGGCGTCGGGCCCCGCGCCGAACCCGTGGTATGCCGAGACGTTCCTGGTGGCTGTGCGCGCCCCGTCTGGGGCCTCGCCCTGGACCTTGCGGAGCATGGCAGGCGCCATTCCCGCGCAGCGGGCTTCCAGCCCCCAGCTCCGCCAGCGACTCCGTCTCGCCCACCGCGCCCACCCTCGGATCCTTCAGGACGCGGACGGCTGCCGCAGTGGCTGCAGCGACAGCGTGACGCCCTCGTCCACCACAGGCCGCCGCCAAGATCGCGGCGTACGCCAGCGTCGAATCCCCAGGAAGGGGCGGGACCGCCGCCATGCCGCTAGCGCCAGACTGGCCGGCGCGCGTGCGCGCGGATGGCTCTGAGCCAAACTGGCTACGGGAGGAGGGGGAGGAGGAGGAGGAGGAGGAGGAGGAGGAGGAGGAGGAGGAGGAGGAGGAGGAGGAGGAGGAGGGAGGGAGGAAAGGAGGAAGGAGGAGGAGGGGAGGAGGAGCAGGAGGAGGAGGAGGAGGAGGAGGAGGAGAGGAGGAGCAGGGAGGAGGGCGCCCCTCCTCCGAGCCGACCTCGCCGCCTCGCCGCGCAGAGACTCGCCGGCCCCGGGCATACCGCCTCGAGCCCGGCGTCCACCGGCGGCTTCGTGTGCGTGCCGGGCAGCCACGCGCGCCCGGTGCGCGAGGCGCCTGTGGCGGCCCTCCGAGCCTCTTCGTTCTCGTCGTCGCCGCTGCCGCCGCCGCCGTCGTCGTCGTCGTCGTCGCCGTCGTCGCCGTCGTCGTCGTCGTCGTCGTCGCCGTCGTCGTCGTCGTCGTCGTCGTCGTCGTCGTCGTAGTCGTCGCTGTCGTCCTCTTCCTCTTCCTCCTCCTCCTCGACGAGGATGAGGAGGAGGAATGGGTCTAGAGGAGGGCCAGCCAGTCGAAAGCGTCCTCGACTCTCGTCGGCGGTGTCAGCTCAAAGTTTTGTTGCCCTTCAGTGGGATTGCCCAGAGTAGGCAGGAGGCCGCTTGGACGCATGCCTTGAACGGGAGTCTGAAGTCCTCGCCGTTCTCGTCCCCATCCCCGTCCCCGTCCCGCGTCGTTATAGGACATGCACGGGGATCCTCTGGCTTCGTTGGACGGCAGTATGAAGATCGCACCGCGTCGATTGTTTGATGTGTGGGTGGCTTCTGGGCTTGATGCTCTTCTCCTCCTCCCGATCTTCGCCCTTCTCCTCTTTGTGCCTCTCCCCGCTCCTCCTCATCGCTGTTCCGCTCGCTCCTCCGCCACTCATCATGATGCTCGCTCCTCGCTTTCCTGTGTCCTTGTTCCTCACCGCCTTCGTATGTCAGGAGCCCGGGCCCTGGGCCAGCACACCTTCCCGAGTTCCCCCCCGCCTTCGGTACGCTCGGGCCCAGGGGGGGAAGCGGGCCCTGCTCTGGGGCCTGCCGAGGCGTCTAGCATGGCTTGCGGGGGCGGCAAGAAGCCGCCAAAATGGCCTAAGAGCGCTCCAAGACGCACGGGGCGGCCTCCAGACGGCTCGACAGGCCCCCAAGACGGCCCAAGAGCGGCTAAAAGAGGACCCTCAAGATGCAGACACGATCTGATGTGCAATGTTTTTGTTCAGCGATAGTCGCGCTCTCGCGTTCTCGCGCTTCCGACTTTCGAAGACGGCCCAAGAGCCGCCCGAGAAATTTTGACCAGACGGCGCAAGAGACCCGCCCAAACAGGGCCCCGAGACGGCCGAGAGGGCCCCCAGTTCATCCCAAGAGCGCTCCGGGAGAGCCCCAAGAGGGGTCCAAGATGATGGGCTTGTTTTCCACCACCACCACCATAAGTTGGAGGGGGAGGGTGTCCTCCTCCTCCTCTTCCTCCTCCTCCTCCTCCTCCTCCTCCTCCTCCTCCTCCTCCTCCTCCTCCTCCTCCTCCTCCTCCCCCCCCTCCAACTTATGGTGGTGGTGGTGGTGGAAACCAGGCCCATCACAAGAGGAGGAGCCCGAGCTCACAGGGCGAGCCCGCCCCCCGACGACGACCCCCGAGACCGCCAGCGGGGCCCCAAGATGCTTCGAAGAGGCCCCAGGAGCGCCCGAGGGGCCCCTCCGAGCATTTCCCAGGAGCACCAAGACGCCCCCAGAAAGGGCTCCAAATCTGGCGAAAGACCTCCGAGGGGCCTTCCAAGAGACACCAAGCACCTTTTCAGAGAGCCCTCGAAGAGCGCACCCAAAAAGGCATCCAAAGAGCCCCATCAGCATTATTGCGCCTGGATTTTTAGCGGCTATCGGGCATCCTTCTGAGGGGGCTAGGACGAGGACAAATCCGTTCCAGAGCGTTCCGGAACGCTCTCAGGGCGTTCCAGAATGCTCTCAGAAGGCCGCGGTGCCCGATACATCCTCCAGAGCCGCCGGATCTCTGAGATTCTCGATTTATCCTCACCCGATTTTATCCTCGTCCTGGCTCCGTCTTAATACCCTCTTCGGCTGCCCTGGGTCCTCCCCGTAGCTACGTTGCAGCGTGTACACGGAAGCATACATGATGTTGATGTGGCTAAATGCCGGGTCCCCATCGCCAGGGCCCCGGACCACCTCGGGAACATCCGGGCTGCGCCTGTATCACGCCCCCCCATCCGGGGGGTGGGGGCGCTGGGAGGGACATGGCCCTACAACCTTCCTCGAAACCAAGTTAAGCAAAACACATTGGTAAGCGAAGCGCGGCTCGCGCGGTCAGTTTTGTATCGTGTCTGCAGTCGCCACTTTCAGCGCGAATATGAAAATTTGGGGGTCTGGGGCGCCGCCACGTCGCGGGAAAAACTTGCGTTTGATTTCGAGGAGGGATGTAAGACGGTGTCGAGTATTCTAGGCCTCCTAGATGGGGTTTAGGTAGATGGGGTCGGAGGATCGCGCCGTATCCCCGATGCATCGCCGATGCGGCTCGATGTCGAGCCCAATTTGCTTCACGTCGACGTCGCCGATGCATCGCTGACGACGACGACGATAAATCGCCGGTGCATCACCGATGCATCGCCGATGCATCGCCGATGCATCGCCGCTGTATCGGCGATGCGGCGCGATCCCACGACCCCATCTACTCCGACCCCATCTAGGAGGCCTCTAAGTATTCCCCACGCGGCCACAGAAGCTCCAGAACGCCCCACGGAGGCGCCGGGGGGGGGGGTCGAGGTGACGGCCCACGAGCGCTCCAAGATGGCACAAGGTGTCCCCAAGACGGCCCAGGAGGCCCCGAAGACGTTGCAAGAAGGCTCGAAGAGGACCCCCAAGAGAAATTCACTAGGCAGGAAACTGATAATCTCTCATCGGTGTTTGAAGGATGTGTTTGAAGGATTTTAGGGTTCTCGCTTTTTCTGGCCTCCAACCCTCCAAGACGGCCCCATAGGCCCCCAAGACCGCCCCAAGACAGCCCAACAGGCCTCCAAGAGCGCTCCAAACGGCTCACGAGGCCCCCATGACGGCTCACGAATCCCCCAAGAGGCCCTCAAACGGGCCCCAGAGGAGGAACCCGAACACGTCTTTGAGCATTACGTGTCCCCGCTGCCTACCACTTCGGTCGGAAGTGGTCTTGGCTCCCCGTGTGGTATGAGCCATCGGGGCATCGGGGCTCGTCTCATTAGTCCCCCATGTGGTCTGAGCCATCGGGGTTCTTCCTGCGCCAAGACCAGCTTATGCAGGCAGCTGAGGTCTTGAGTTTGGAAGTGGCATTGGCTCCCCGTTTGGTCTGAGCCACCAGGGCTCTTCTCATTAGTTCCCCGTGTGGTCTGAACCATCGGAGTTCTGAACAGATGCTGCTTACGCAGGCAGCTGCCATTGTATCAGGTTTTCTCTGAGATTGCTGCTGCCTTTGAATGTTGCGTGGAAGCATGAATGGCGAGAGAAGGGAATGGGAGAAACGCGCATCCACATATCCACACGCCCACACACATACATACATATATGTGAGAACTGGATTGTGTTTAGCATATGGTACTAGCCGGCCGCTCTGCGGTTGATCGGGAGTTTCTGTATATAGAAGAAGGTGCGTGCGCTTGTTGGCGAGGGTGAGGATGAGGTTCCTCCTCCTCCTCCTCCTCCTCCTCCTCCTCCTCCTCTCCGTAGCCATTTTGGCTCAAGCTCTTACGGAGAGCCGCCCCTCCCCCCTGCCGCACGAAGAGGCCTCGGGCTGGAGGCCACGGCGCCAGAGTGGAACACCGCAGCCGCCAGAGGCGCAGCCACCTGCTAGTGGAGCGACATGGAGTACCCCATGGTTACCGTCAACGACGTCATGACGCTGGGCGTACCCACCGATCGGTTCCTGGTTCCACTCAGCGCGAACACGTACAAGATAGATTTCCTGGCATTCAAGATCAGAGCGGTCCAGGACGGGCACGAGACGTGCCTCCTTGAGATCTCGAAGGATCCCGACGATGGACCTGAGTTGGACGACACCATCGGCGATGATGCCCGCATGTTCAAGTACCATTTTGGCCCCCGGTTTCTGGACTTCCAGACCATTGGCACCAATTTAGAGTTCACGATCGGGGACGTACCTCTGCACAACTTCCGGATGATTGAAAGGCATTACTTCGGCGACCAACTGATCAAGAGCTACGACTTTACGCTGCCCTTCGTTATCCCGAACACCCGCAACACGTGGGAGGTGATCTACACGATGCCAGACATGGACCCCGCGCTGAAGCAGGCCATCATCCAAAATCCGTACGCCACTTGTTCCGACAGCTTCTACTTCGTCGAGGACCGATTGGTGATGCACAACAAGGCGTGGTACGACTACAGCGAGGGCCCCGGCATGGTGGAAATCAGGGAAGAGCCACCCATGCCATGAGAAGGAGAGCAGCGAGGTGCCCGCGCTGCAGAGGTGCTGCACGCGCCTCCGCCCAGCTGCCGTCATCTTCGTGATCTGAGAGCCTGGGCATAGCCGGACATTGCTGCGCAGTTCTGGACCAGGTGAGCAGGTGCGCTGACCTGGCTAGCAGTCTTGGCCACGCATGGGCTCAGGGACTCCTCCTCCTCCTCCTCCATCCTTCTCTTGCCTCCGTCTGTCCTCCTCCACCCCGCAGCTCCATCATCTTCTCCTCCTCCTCCTCCTCCTCCTCCTCCTCCTCCTCCTCCTCATTCCTCCTCTGGGCACCTCCCCCGGGGCGCGGATCCACCGGATCTGTCCGGATCTGTCCGGAAACGGTGCCGGAGGCCGCTCTGGGCTCCTCTGGGCACCTCCCCCGGGGCCGGTTTTGTGAGGATGTCTCAAGCGAGGGCGCCGGTTTGGGATTCGTCATCCGGATCCAGCGGATCTGTCCGGAAACGGTGCCGGAGGCCGCTCTGGGCTCCTCTGGGCACCTCCCCCGGGGCCGGTTTTGTGAGGATGTCTCAAGCGAGGGCGCCGGTTTGGGATTCGTCATCCACCGGATCCACGGATCTGTCCGGAAACGGTGCCGGAGGCCGCTCTGGGCTCCTCTGGGCACCTCCCCCGGGGCCGGTTTTGTGAGGATGTCTCAAGCGAGGGCGCCGGTTTGGGATTCGTCATCCGGATCCAGCGGATCCATCCGGAAACGGTGCCGGAGGCCGCTCTGGGCTCCTCTGGGCACCTCCCCCGGGGCCGGTTTTGTGAGGATGTCTCAAGCCGGAGGCCGCTCTGGGCTCGGTTTGGGATTCGTCACCGGATCCAGCCCGGATCTGTCCGGAAACGGTGCCGGAGGCCGCTCTGGGCTCCTCTGGGCACCTCCCCCGGGGCCGGTTTTGTGAGGATGTCTCAAGCGAGGGCGCCGGTTTGGGATTCGTCACCGGATCCAGCGGATCCAGCGGATCCACCGGATCTGTCCGGAAACGGTGCCGGAGGCCGCTCTGGGCTCCTCTGGGCACCTCCCCCGGGGCCGGTTTTGTGAGGATGTCTCAAGCGAGGGCGCCGGTTTGGGATTCGTCACCGGATCCAGCGGATCCAGGATCTGTCCGGAAACGGTGCCGGAGGCCGCTCTGGGCTCCTCTGGGCACCTCCCCCGGGGCCGGTTTTGTGAGGATGTCTCAAGCGAGGGCGCCGGTTTGGGATTCGTCATCCGGATCCACCGGATCTGTCCGGAAACGGTGCCGGAGGCCGCTCTGGGCTCCTCTGGGCACCTCCCCCGGGGCCGGTTTTGTGAGGATGTCTCAAGCGAGGGCGCCGGTTTGGGATTCGTCACCGGATCCACCGGATCTGTCCGGAAACGGTGCCGGAGGCCGCTCTGGGCTCCTCTGGGCACCTCCCCCGGGGCCGGTTTTGTGAGGATGTCTCAAGCGAGGGCGCCGGTTTGGGATTCGTCACCGGATCCACCGGATCTGTCCGGAAACGGTGCCGGAGGCCGCTCTGGGCTCCTCTGGGCACCTCCCCCGGGGCCGGTTTTGTGAGGATGTCTCAAGCGAGGGCGCCGGTTTGGGATTCGTCACCGGACCCACAGGTTCTCCGGATCTATCCGTTAGACCCGGAGAGCCGCGGATCTATCCATGTTAACTTAACATCAATGGATAGAACCGGAATCCAATGGATAGAACCAGAAATCACGCACACGTGAAATCAACGTATGAGATTCAGAGACGTTGTGGCCAATATGCACGAACACCAGCCGCGCCAATAATGTGTGGGGTGTGGTTTCTAGTGTTGTTATAATCGGTCTGGGTCTTATCGTTGTCTTGAGTTTTTTGCATATAATCGGTTGAACGCCGCAATGTGATGGAATTCCGTTGTATCATATGTACAGTCAGGATGTTTCATATATCGGTACATGCACGCATGCATCCATGTATATGGATACGCGCGTATGCGCGCACATACTAATTCAGGGAGGGGGGATATAGGAGGAGCAGGAGAAGGAGGAGGGAGGGAGGATGAGGAGGAGGGAGGAGAAGTGAGGACGAGGAGGAGGCGGAGGAGGAGAAGGAAGAGGAGGAGGATGAGGTGGGGAGTAAAAGGCATCAAGATGCTGAGGGTGAGGACCTTCATCGTCCTGTTCCTCGGCATCGTATGAATGTCATGCCTGTCCATCCTCCTCCTGCTCCCTCCCGCCCTCCCTCTCTCCCCCCTTTCCTTCTCCCTCTTCTCAGTCGCATGCTCCCTCCATCCTCCATCCCAGCCCATGCCCAATGCACGTCTCTGAAAGCGCTGGAGAGAGCGCACGGCGGCGGCAATCGAGGTATGGAGAGTTAGCGTCATCATCATCATCATCTTCCTCCTCCTGGGGGGGGTCTTCATCTTGCCTCATCCGTCCTCGGTCTGCCTGCTCCAGCTGCCTCGACCTCCGATTCCTCCTCCTCATCATCCTCCTCGTCCTCCTCCGCTTCAATATCAGCACGCCTCCTGCTCCTCCGATTCCTCCTCATCATCCTCCTCCTCATCCTCTTTTTCCTCCCCCTCATCTCCTTCGCTTCCTCCTGCTTTCCATCTCGTTTTCCGCCTCCGTCGACGACTGCTTAATCGAGCATGTCAATCAGATATGCGTCCGTGAGCTCCACTGGCTCTGGGACGGGCGGGGGTAAAATCGCATACCAATACACCATATCAAATGGCTGGGGGAACACGTGAAACCTTAGACTGCACAACCAACGCACGGTCAGGTTTCCAGGCCAGACGTGGAACTCTTTCTCGGGGAAACGGTGCTGGTTATTGTAGCCCTGCGGGGTGAGAAACACCCGCGTCCACGATAGCCATGACAGGACGACGGCGGTGACGACGACGACGACGCCGACGACGCCGACGACGACGACAACGATTGACGTCGTTTGTCTGTCGGCGAACGCGGGCGGTTATCTCCCGATGCCTCCCTGGAGCAGCTGATCCCTAGAATGTCGATAATCGAATCCGCGGAGGCATTGCACAGGTACGGGATCTGACGGATCGCTCGCGATTCTTGATGAATCGCTTCCTGGGGATGGGAGGTAACCGCCCCGCCGCCCCCGCTCGCGAGGGTGAGAAACGCTTGGGGAGGGTGGTGGGGGCTCGATAAAGCAGCCGTTGCGTTGCACATTTCTCCAAGGAAGCGCACGCAGTGCACTGACTCCCCTGATGTGATATGCAGATCATCTGCTGTTTCATCGAGCCCTCCACCGTCATCCCCACGCGTTTCGCACCCCCATCATGGAGAGAATGAGGAGGGCGAGTGCGAAGGTTGAGGGGGGACGGGTGCGATGGGGGGAGCGGTTGGTATGCACGGGCGTGCGGGTGGATATCACAATTAACACCCCAGTGGTCAAGTGTGGTCTCGATTACCTCCATATCTGAAGTGTCAGACTCTCCCGCGAGTGCGACGAGCTCCATCACGTCGTCACTGTCCGAGCTCGAGAGATCCATCCCCAGTCCCGCGAGCTCGACAGGTGCGTTCCAAAACCCCGTGATCGAACACAAACACTATTGGGCAGAGATCAACGGAGGAGATGGATGCGGAAGCGGAGGATGAATCCGAGAACGGAGAAGGCAGAATGAAGACGGAGGAATCAGGTGGAATCGCTTTCTCAGTATGGGACGGATGGAGATAGGGATTGGCAGGGGATATACATTGGTGGGGAGAGCGATTGGGGCACAGACCGCGGAGCGATGTGATGCACAAGGGTCGGCTGCGCGGGGGGGGGGGGGGGGCAAGCCATGAGGATACGAGTGAGGATGCGGGCGGAGGCAAATGAGGGAGTGTGGATGTGCATGCGCGTGCGCGTACGTTCGAGTGTGTGTGTGTGTGTGTGTGTGGGTGTCCGTGTGTGTGTGTGTGTGCGTGGTTGTGTATCATCCCATCCTCCTCCACATCCGTTTCGCCATCATCATCATCATCGTATTCGTATGTTGCCCGCGATGGCTCAGCTGTGTGCTGCACTCGGATACACGCCCTCACGTGGTGGGTACGTACTAGGCGCATAATATAGTCAGACATATCCCAGACTACTCCCAGACCAGTTTCAGACACATTCAGACTACTTTCAGACTATTTTCAGACTACTTTCAGACTGGGTCCTTTTTCACACTAATGTGAAGCTAATTGTAAAGCGCATGCTACAGTTTAGCGGCCGCGCGACTGCAACACGAGATCACACAACGCTTGTGCAAACTCTGTCGGGTACTGCGCAGAGTCTCGCAAGCCTTGTTGCCTGCCGTTGACCCACACATCTTTCCTCCAGCCAGTGTTGGACAACGGAGTCGAGCGCCTGCGATTCCTACCCGACGGGCGGGGGTCGTCTGCCCAGAGCTTACGGGGGCGCCCACTGGCCGCCACTCTGCGTTTCGAGGCCTTGCAAGTCTTGCAGAGAATATGCTCCGCAAGTGCTGTCTCGTGAGTGTAAAAGATGCCCAGCGGCTTGACCGTGGGGGCGCCGAATCCACCTAAATACGTTACAAGCTTAGTGGCGCCAACTGTACTAAATGAAACATCGACGCATGGGGCCTTACACAAGCTAGACGCCAGCGGGTTCTCGACTAGAATGCGCACACTGCGAGCACACGCTAATACCACCAGCCATGACCTTAATTCACAGAGATCCAGATCCGCTGGACCACGCGTGTCATTGATCGTATCGATCGGGTTACTTACTCCACGCTATCATCATCAATCCGATCGTCCCCAGGGCCCCCCCCCCAGGAATGGCGGAGACAGGAGGAGTAGAAGGATGATGAGGAGGATTGGTAGTAGGAGTCTCAAGGAGGGGCAGGGCGAGCAGGATGAGGAGGAGGAGGACAATCCTGAGGGGGGCGGCCATGAATTCGAGAGCCCTGAGTGCCCTGAGCCCCCCGCATTACCATCGCACACATGTTTGACTCCAAAACTTTGCGAACGCTTTCGTTGCCGAGGATGTCGCGTGCTCTGCGCCCGCTCTGGCTCCGTGTCATGTTGATCCACATACTGCATTCATTCTCAAACATCGCTGTAGCACCAGGGCGCAACTGAAGAACGGAATACCCTGCCCATATTACACCCTCCAATGTACAGGCGTCCTCGGAAAAGTGGCCTCTCCTTTGCGCGACAATTCGGCAGAGCTCAACTCAATTGACCCACCA